AGAGACGTTCTTTACAGACACGTTCTTTACAGACACGTTCTTTACAGACACGTTCTTTACAGACACGTTCTTTACAGACACGTTCTTTACAGACACGTTCTTTACAGACACGTTCTTTACAGACACGTTCTTTACAGACACGTTCTTTACAGAGACGTTCTTTACAGACACGTTCTTTACAGAGACGTTCTTTACAGACAGGTTCTTTACAGAGATTCTTACAAGAGCGTTCGTAACAGCAAAGTACTTTATGGCAAAGTACTTTATGGCAACATATTTTACAGTGATATTCTTTACTAAAACCTTTTTACAGGTTTTTTATGTTTCCAAAAATTCTCTTTAGACTGAGTTTATTTCCAGCAAACCGTCATACGAGTTAGTATAAGAAGGTTTTTTTATCACTTTCACTGTGATTTTTTTTCAAATATCTTTAAAAGTTGTGTTTTTTTGTATTTTACGATACTTTTACAAGTTTCTTTACAGTGAGTCAGTTTACTTGTTTTTTTACATTTGTCTTTGCAGTTAGTCTCTTTACGATTCTCTTCAAGAAAAGAGTTGTTGTAAGTTCAGTCATCCAGGTAGAGAACAACAAAAAGCTTCAATCGTTTCATCTGGACCAGCTTCTTTAAGTGAGGAAACGTTTCGGCCTCCATCCAGAGGACTTCCTCAGTCTGTGGCCTGCCAGCCAGAGCTGTCCCACAGGGAGACTTCACTGCTGTTTCAAGACACCCTCCTGTTGGAATCTCACAAGTAGTCTTCTAACACGTGCAGACAGAGCACGCCCATCCGAAACAAGCAATCAAGTACAATCACATGTTGTAGGCCAGGTGGAGGATGGACTGACGAAGTCCTCAGGATGGGGGACGAAACGTTTCTCCCTTAAAGAAACTGGTCCAGATGACACCATTCAACCTCTACTGTTGTTCTCTTCACAAGTTTTCAGTTTTATCAAGAAGCTCCTTCAGAACTTACGGACCTCAGCGTAGATACTGGAGGTGGTGACTCTCAGGTGGGGGGTCACCGGGTCAGGGGAGCCACACCTGCTGACTGATGCTCAGGTGAGGGTCAGGTGAGCCACATCAGAACCTTTGCCTTGGATCCATCAGAGAACCTCGGAACATCACAAGAGGAACAGGTGAGTCTGTTTCCTGAAGCCCACTTCCTGTTTGCTCTCTACTCTGATTACTTCCAGTCCTCATTGATCGATCAGATAATCAATCGCTGCAGTCAACAGATGGCTCTGGTTCTCCTCTGGACAGGAAGTGTTTGATGATTGATAACTGATTGACTTCCTGTCACATGTCAGTTTGATCATTCATGATCAGCTGATCTGAGTTCAGTTCCAGTTATTGATCTGTATTGGTTGTTGATCAGCAGGTTGTTTTCATAGTTTACTTCCTGTTGTTGTTTGTCTGATAAGAACAGATAGAGATTATTGATGATCTAATCTGATTATTGATCTGTGACCGGATTAAAAAGACTGATCGATGACCTTCAGGATCAGTCACAGATCGGAACCAGGTTCGGGGCAGGACCCGCAGATGGAGGCGGGTCAGAGAAAACTCGGAGCTGGATCCAAAGCCCGGTTCGGTTCGGATGTCGGGGCGCTGTTCCGCGGGTTTCCCTGCACCCCCTCCCTTTGTTCTTTAATGGATCCACGCTCCTCCAGACCCCCTCCCCCCCCGGTCCACAGAAAACCCGTTTCCAGCCTGAGAATGAAAACAACCCGCAGCTTCAACTGGGCCCGAACCTTCCGGGCCGCGG